TGAAAGAGATGTGTGTAGAATGGTGTGCGTAGAGCCCACACTTGTAGGGAACGCCAACCAATCCTACACGCTTGCATTTCCAATACATGTGTCGACATGCGCTGAACAGCTCTGCTTGACCGAAAATTCATTTCTGCTGTGATAGTCCTGAAGATGGCTTAAACGACACACATCATCCTGTAGACTGCTGGCAGCAAATGTTTATGTAAAACACAATGCCATTACCTAGCAACAGTTGGTACTGCTTGGGAACATAGTTCCAATTGACAAACTACTGACACAGAAGCCTTAGGCTTTAAGGTATAGAATTATATTGGGTAGATACGGTCGTATTCGCTAATATACAGAGCTAATAACAGGGTTGTGGCCGTGGCATTTACCAGGGACCACCACCGACGACCTGGGCCTGAGCTGCAGAGATGGTGGCAGCGAAGAGGACGGCAACGGTTGCGATGGCGACGTAGGCGTTCATGGTATTGATCTTGCTGTGCTGGCAAAGGGGAGGTAGTGGATTCTGGTATGGAGAAGAGGGGCTTGTCGATTGTGTCTCGACCCTCCCTCTGAGTCCTGTGGCCAGGTCTTTTATAGTTGGGCTGAGCCCTCTCCTGGCGGACAAGGCGCTGTGTAGCCTTCTCGAAGATGGGGGGGATACATTTTTGAAGTATACTCTGGGCCTACACATCGGCTGCACCCGTGTGGTCTTATTGTGCCGTATTGGCGGTGTAATTGTGTGAATTTTTAATTTCACAATGGGTAACAGCGAGGTCTCCCACTTCAATGGCGGGCTATTGGGTAAATAGCGGGCGGTCCACAGCAAAAAGGCTCCAATTGAAACCCGGCCAGGGTCGATCGGTAGATTACGATATGCGATTAGATCCTCTGTGGGCACTAGGCATGCGCTTATGCCTGTGGTTGTCGATGATGGTCGCAAGGCATAGGATGCCACACATTAATTGGCAGCGCGTCTCCTTTCCGGCTTTCACAAAGCACAAGCACAGCTGGGCCAATTCATCTAGCAACGGAAATGTGGACGGTTCGTGCCTCTAGTTGCATGTGCGAGCCAGCTTGCCGACACGGCTAAGCGAGCTTCAGGTGGCAATGGACCTATTGTCGCTGGTATCTGTTCTACAACGTACACCATTCCCTAGAGCCTCCACCAAATCCCTAGCTATCCCAGGCAGGATGCAGTTCCCAGACACTAGCATCGCGAAGCCCGACCGCCAGTGCACCTGTACTCTATGCATCGGCGGAAGAGGGTGTCGGTGGTATTAAAAGTCCTCTAGGTAAATACATTCTCTACGTCATCACTCCAGCTCGAATGAATGGTAGCACGGAAAGACAAAGTCGTCGTCAATAGCCTTTCTCAGGTGCTCGGTAATGAACAGCTCCAGCTTCTCGACATTTTTAAGTACATGGTGGTGCTGGTCGCCGATCTCAGTGCGAATGCAAAAGTTGTCCAGCAGACTGGTGCGTGGCGGCTCGGGCTCCAGGAAACAAAAGTTGATGCGGCCCTTTAAGTACGCGACCACGGCCAGCGCCGAGAACTCGATCTTTGTGATGTGCATTGTGACTGGCAGACTCGCAAACTGCGATGCCGGGTAGTTGAGCTGCAACTCGGTGTTCAGCACCAGCGACATGTCGCCTTTGTATTCGAGCTTGGTTAGCAGCTGCATGTCATCGTCAGTCCGCTCCACAGCGATCCGGTGCGGCATGGCACTTGAAAATGTGCTGGTACCGAGTGACATGCGCTGCTGCTGTTGTTGCTGGAGGGAGGTCCGTGGCATTGTCTGTGCCGAGTACAGCGACGGGCTTTGCCAGATCCTGGTGCCTGGAGTCATTGATCCGGTTCGAAGCAAGCCCATAGGCGGCTGCAGGAACTGCTGAATCGACGCCTGCGATATCGGACGGTCTGGAAGCCCGCTCAACACCGACTCGAGGTCGTCATCGATATCCTGGTAATCGCTGTCGGCTGCAGCTACTGATGTCGATGCACCTCGCAGCCCTTGGCTCTGGAACATTCTGCTACCGGTCTGCGATGCCGGCATGACCTGTATCCGCTGCATCGCCACGTCTGATTCTCTCTCTGCGTCCTCCTCCTCCTCCTCTTCCTCTGTGGCCATGTAGAATTCTGGGTAGGGTTCGGTCAGGTCGAGAATTTCAATGTCGGGCGGTGTGCTGCCGAAATCGAGACCCTCGACTGTAATGTCGCCCAGGAACACCGGCCGCTTCTCTAGCCGCGCAAAAAAGCTGTTGAGCTGCAGCTGGATGCTCTGCGCAACCTTCTTGTCCAGCTTCTCCCAGTGAATTGTAAACGACATTGTTAAAATAAAGAAATTAGGACGGAAAAGGGAAGCGGCTGGAGCAAAGAGAGGGGCGTGCGGCGGTTTCAGGGGCGGCGTGTATTTGACTTTTGGGGTTGGCTCAGCAGTAGTCTTCGATCGTCTTGCCGTAGTGTGCCAGGAACCCATCGGCAAACTCCAGCGCTTCGGTGCTGAGCTGGCGCGACCACGAGTCGTACTGGGCGATGTTGTGCCGCACAACGCCGGTGATGCGCGCGCGGCTCATAAAGTTCAGGCGGAACCGCAGCGCGCGCCGGTAGTACTGGTGCCAGTCGATCCAGCCCTTGGCGCTGGCGATTTTGAATGTAGCAAGGAATATCCACCGCCAAAACCCAGGCATATTGGCCACCTTCTTGCACGACAGGCCCATGCTGATCAGCGACTCCTCGTCCAGGTAGCTCATAACCAGCTCCAGCATCTCTGGCGGCAGGCTCAGCAGCTGCGACTTCTCCTGCGAGTCGACGGTCTTGAATACCTCCCGCGGGTTCTCGTGGGGCTGTAGATAGACTGGCGCCGGCGCGTACTTGGGGCTCGAGATAATCCACAGGTCCGACACATTGTACTCTTCGTCGTTGAGCAGGATTTCCTTGACCTTGTCGGTCTCGCTGCGCTCCAGCCCCGGAACGTCGACGTCCAGATCCATTACATGCTTGCCGCTGTCGCATGCATTCGCAAAAATCCCGCGGTATGTCCACGGGATCCTTTGCCGGTCGAGCTCTGCCGTCAGCATCTCCAGGCACATATCATGGACCACGACAACAAGAATGTCGGTCACTTCATTTGCCGCCTCGCCCACGCTCATGGCCAGCGGCTTGTTGTACTCCTCGGTCATCTCGCTCGCACACATGATGCTGAGCTCGTGCTCGGCAAACACAGGGTCGTCATCGATGAACACCAGGCCGCCCGGGCCGTCGGTGTAGCAGCCGTGGTTGCGCGGGCTGACCCCGCTGTACACATTCAGGAAGCGTATCTGCTCGGTGTACATTTCGCTGGCGCAGATACGGAAGATGCTGACGTCTACAATCCATAAACATCAAGAGGAAATCAAGGCCGCTGCATTTTTGCATGCTTTTCTCTGCCATTCTAGAACGCGGGGCCTGATTGCCAGCAAAAATAGGAAGCTGGTCCAGCCCGAGTAAAAAAAACCTCTTACCGTGTCCACACTTGGCGGGGTCGCAGCCCTCGGGCATCTTCTCCTTCCACGTCTTCAACTCCACGGAGCTGTAGAGGTCGCCAATACCCTCCACAAACACCCCGCAAATCCAGCAATGCGCTGTCTCCGGTACCATGGCCATTTTCTCCCAGGGGGTTTGACAGGGTACAATAGAAGGCAAGAGGGGATAAAAATGGCTGAAAAGTTTGGGAGTGGGGAAAGCAGCGAAGAGAAACGGCTCGGCAGCTGTTTGAACAGCCACAAACAAGGAGCTTTGCAGGTCGCGTAGTAGTCGGCCTAGGGGCTGGCAGGAAAACAGCAAAATAGCGTGTTCGTAAGCGCAAATCGCTATAAAGTGCATCGTGGCCGGGAATCCTGCAAACGCAATAATTGCAAGTCTGCTCTTGATCGGATCAATGGTGCAGCTGGCCAGATCGCCTGGGGCTGGACCCGATGCCACCCTTGGTACACCTGCTCAGCAACGCATGAGATACGCCCAGTACGTGGCGGGTCCCTGGTCGAGTTTGAAGCTCAGAGGCAACGGAGAATAAGCTACAGATACACTGGTGTTATCAGCAAAGAGCGGGTTGTGATACAGTTACAGAAAACAAATCACGTGAATTTAGATATCCTGACCCAAGCTGTGCCGTGATGGGCTAGGTTCGCTAGCCCTTTTATCTCAGCTGCACACGCTGTGGCTGGAGGGCGGCTGTATTTGTTATGTATCAAAAGTACACTTTATACTGAGGTTTTGACCAAGACAAGCATGATGCGTATCAGTGTAGCCAGTATGCAGGCGACCACCGCCGATGTCCTCAAAAGACCCCTGATTTCAGACATGCAGTGGTGATTTGAAACTTATCATGTCAGATAAGGCTGAATTTGAGGCTGTGTGACCAATATTGGCAGTCATGGCGACCCTTTGTGATGCAGAAGAACGTCTGTACAAGATGCACTTATTACAGGCCGATGTATCTTGCAGATCAGTATAAATGGACTCAGCGTAGCCTACACTGCTATCCTTCCTATTGTCGTTTCAATCCGCAGACACTCAGCTCTAGTTCGAATAGCAACCAATGTCCTACTGTTTCCGTTGGCCTCGATCGAATAACAGGACCCAGCAGGTACACACTGAAGGGGGTGCTAGAAAGGTCTACAAGTGCACATACTGTGGGGACAAGTTCGGATACGATGAGGCAATGATCTACCATGTAAACCACCTCTGCCCCCGCGCACCATGGAGGCATTCCTAACGACATGTAAAAGACTATAATACATACTTTTTTTGATCTGTATACCTTGTAACGATGTCTAGAATAGAATTCGCCTTTTTGACTAAAATGTTAGATTGTAGTTTTCATCCTCATCGTCGATAGGGCTGCGGGAGACGCAGTTCCCGTGCCGATGATAGACAATGGCATAGTTACCTTTTTCAACCGCTATGTGCAGCACATAAGCGGATATATACCCATTCATTTTTAGTTTCATTATTCAATTTTGGTAGTATATTTGTCTACATTCAAGTAACTTGGTAATGTGGTTGAAAGGTTAACGTACGGACCGGTAATAGAAGGCTGCCCATCAGTTCAATCGGTACCAGAGATATTATAGCCAGTAACGCAGGTCCACTGGTAGTGCGTAAATTGTCTCTGGACTTGATTGCCTTTTGGGAGGGTAGGGAATCGTGGCTGGCTCAGTCAACCTATAGACTCTTGATAATACAAAATACAATTAAATCTGCCACTAGATAGTTTTCTACCTAGAATTATTTATGATGTAGTATTTATTGCCACAGCCACTTCACCTAGATGTATTATACAATTCGGCTGCCTTGATTATCAGTGTAAGGAATACCATTTCGAAGATAAAATATCGTTCTTGTTGGAAGGTATCCAACGATCTGAACCATCCCTTCGCTAAACCCTCGAGAAATAGCGTGTTCAGAAAGTGCTTCTTTCGCCGTGGACAGCATATCACCTGGAACAACCAGCTTGAGGAGGGAGGGTAATCCAGAGACTAAAGTGCACATTGCATCAAGAGAAGGGGCTGTTGGGATATGAATAACACTTGAAAATAGGATAAGCTGAGAAAGGGTGCTGCTCCAAATGGGTGCTGATTCTGTATTTCCTATGACATTTCCAGTGTTGTATATGGCCCCGACAAGAAGCCAGCGCAGATGAGGAAGCTGAGGGAGAATGTCGATGAGATCGGAGAGATAAACCGGAAACTGAAGATACACTTTTTCTAACTTTGTCCACAGAATCGTATCAGGGAGTGGGATTGGTAGGCTTGTGTCAATAAATATTTCAGCGGTGGAAGTAGAGAACGGTTTGCCGAAAAGACCCTTTGCAATAGACGCCGCAGCTTCATCATGCACACTAGTATTCCAGCTTCTTGTGGAAATGAGTAGAGTCTGAACATCTCTGAAGGTGGTTATCACAGAGAGTTGGAATCTATCAACAGCATCAACGATAGTGGCAGTCTGTATTGGCGCGTCCTTGAATAAAGCGAAGATGCTGGGATCGTTGAATGGATAGTATTGTAATCGTAAATCCTTCAGCTTTGGAAACGATATAGAAGGAAGGTATGCGTCTGATTCATCTATTGACTCAGATATCTCGGGATAGTGATAGATTTCAAGCACCGTAAGGTTTTCGAAGATAACAGATCCAGGCAGGCAGCCTCTGAAGATGTGCCATGAATGTAGAGTGTCAGAATAATATAGGCTCAGATACTCGAGTGAGGGTGCATATATTTTAGGGAGACGCTCAGCACTCTCACTGTTGATCTGAAGATCCAACCTAGCGAGATATGAGGAAAAGTATTTATGGTTCATTTCTGGAAGTGTGAAATCGGACAAAGCTATTGTTCGCAGCTGTGGCAAGTAAAAGTCCAACATATCACCAAGTGGGAATGCTGGCGGATTATTCAATAGATATCCGGATTTTCTATGCCACAAATGTTTCACATGAGGGGTATGCTCTATAAAATATTGTGAGGTTTGTGACAGCCGCTTACTGGTATCGTCAGCTATTGGGAGTTTGGTGTCGGAATCCTGTTTTGCTACCTGTGGAGTTCCAATAAAAAGTATTTTTTCCAATCTAAGCCATTCGACAGTGCTGAATCCAAATGTTTCGAGGATGTCTCCAAGAGAAGGAAAATCGATGATACAGTCTCGAGATGAGATAAGAAGTTGCTGAGTGTAGTTGCTGTTTTTTAATCGCATGATATTTGAGATGTCTGTTCTCCAAAGAATTGGTTGTGGTGATGAGGCTGCGAGGTAGATGCCTCTGGATGCGAGTTGGCCAGAATCAGAGATGCTGCCATATAGAAGCATTTGCTCAGCAGTTGGTTTTTGGCACAAGATAATCGCAGTAGTGTAGAGGCTCTCTTTTATAGTGTTTCTCCAGTGTTGGCAAATCTGGTTAAGCTGGAGGAATGAAGTATAGATGTCAACATCGTCAGGGTTCATAAGGCGATTACTGTTGTCGAGTATATAAACAATTCGCCGAAGAATATATGGTCTCAGTGTTGCCCAGTTCGCCATTAGTGTGAAAAACGAGGTTGTGAGGAAGAGTGGAAAAGAAATGCAGTATCTGTTAACAGTGGTTGACAACCCGCACTTATCTTGGACATGTCTCTCCTTGTCAAAATCTCCCTAATCCTACTTTACCATCCGCAATACCTGATATCTGAATTAGATTTTCCTCATTTCATTGTTCTATTTTCTCTTTATATTTTGCTACCCAGTCCAATACTGGACTGGATCCTTCTCGTCTTCCTTCTATATTTTTCTACTTGCTTAGTGCCTTTCTGCACTCTCTCACACTTTCCCAATATATCTATCTTCGGGTGTTCCAGCCCGCTCTACAATTTTTACTTGTATCGCTTGTAACCTTCTGACACCTGACCTCACATATTGACACGGGTTGCATAAATCTAATATCCTCTAGCGATTCTGGTTTAATCAAGGTACTGCTGTACTACTAGCTAGAAGTGTTAACATTCATACGGGTGTTTGTCCCTTGTCTCTAGCGGATGTGAGGCATGGTGCGGCCAGTCAAGCACACACGAGTGTGGATATGGATCTCAAGATACAATTAGCGATTGAGGCAAGTAAACTCCTCTACCGATTATAGCGTGCAATCAGCCAATATCTAGTGGTGGGGGTGTACTTGCTTTTACCCTATGTATACGTTGGCTGATAGTTCAGCATTTTTCTTATTCGAGGATGCATATAACAGCAAACTTAATATTGTGTTTATACAATGTAGCATTTATTGCCACAGCCACTTCAGTCAGGTGCATTATAAAATTCGGTTGCCTTGATTATTGGTGTAAGGAATGCCATCTCGAAGATAAAACCCTGCTGTTGTTGGAAAAATATCCAACAACTTGAAGCGCCTTTTCATTCGATTCCTGGGAAACACCGCGTTCAGAAAGTACATCTTCTACTGTAGATACCATATCGTCTGGAACAACCAGCTTGAGGAGGGAAGGTAATCCAGATACCAAAGTGCGCATTGCCTCAAGAGAAGGAATCGTTGGTATATCCACAATGCTTGAGAATAGGATAAGCTGAGTAAGGGTGCTGCTCCAAATGGGTGCCGATTCTGTATTTCCAAGGTTATTTCCAGTGTTGTATATGCCCCGACGAAAAAAGCCAGCGTAGACGAGGAAAGCTGAGGGAGAATATGAGTAAGATTGGAGAGATATACGGGGAATTGGAGACATAGCTTTTCTAACTTTGTCCACAGAATTGTATCAGGGAGTGGGACCGGTATGCTCGTCTGAACACGTACTTCAGCGGTGGAGGTAGAGAACGGTTTTCTGAAAAGATCCTTTGCAACAGACGCCGCAGCTTCGTCATGTACACTATCTTGCCAGGTACTGGCGACAATAAAAAGATTTTGAACATCTCTGAAGGTGGTTATCGCAGAGAAATGGAATCTATCAACCATATCAACGAAAGTGGCAGACTGTATTGGCGCGTCCTTGAATAAAACGAGGGTTTTGGTGTCATTGAATGGATGCCAGCCTAATTGCAAATTTTCCAGC